CGTCGCAAAAAGTGGCTGCTATTTAGATATTGCAGTGAGCAAGGGGAGGGGGGGAGAACCGGGAAGGCAGCGGGGCCCGGGAATTTCGGCGGGCTTGTTTGGGGGGGGGGGGGGGGGGGGGGGGCGAGCAGCGCCCCCCCCCCCCCCCCCAGTGCATCGCACGGGACTTGTAACGGTGCAAAAAGTGACTGTGCAGAGATGAGGCTTCGGATCGTTTCTCTCCAATGTTTTTTTTTATTATTATTATTATTATTATTATTTAAATAAAATGACCTGCTCAACTTTGCCTGCCTGGGATATGAGATTTTAGGAGTCACTTTGCACCGAGGCCGTTCGAAGGATTTCTGTACAACTCCTGCAGGGGAACGGAAATATATTTTAAAAAAATAAGGCGGTTTGAATTTTATTTTAAACCCCATCCTGCTGAGGATGGGATTCAGTTTCCTTGTTTATGTCCAGTCTTTCTTTCTTTCTTTCTTTCTTTCTTTCTTTCTTTCTTTCTTTCTTTCTTTCTTTCTTTCTTTTTCTTTCCCCCCTCTGTCTTTCTTTCTTTCTTCCCTCCCTCTCTCTTTCTTTCTTTCCCCTCTCCCTCCCTCTTGTCTCTTTCTTTCTTTCTTTCTTTCTTTCTTTCTTTCTTTCTTTCTTTCTTTCTTTTTTTCTTTCTTTCTTTCTTCCCTCCCTACCTCTCTTTCTTTCTTTCCCCCTTCCCTCCCTATCTTTTTCTTTCTTTCTTCCCTCCCTCCCACCCTCTCTTTCTTTCTTTCTTTTTCTTTCTTTCCCTCCCTCCCATCCTTCCTTCCTTTTCTTCCTTCTTTTTTCTTCCATTCCTTCCTTCCTCTTTATTTTCTTTCCTCCCTTCTGTTTCCTTCCTTCTCTTTTCTTTTCTTTTCTTTTCTTTTCTTTTCTTTTCGTCACAGCCTAGCACAGTCTTGCAAATAAATGCACACAGCTGCATTTCCCAGATTGGATGCGCCCCTGCTGCAGCAATGGCCCCGGAGTTCCGAGCCGTGGCTTAAATGGCGGCCTTCCTTTGGCATCTCTGGTTTGCCTTTCTCTTCGGGAAAAAAAACGAAATCTGCTTTGCTTTGCAAGGCTAAGGTGCTTTCCAAAACCTTAAAACCTCTTGATCAACAGTACAGTGTTTTGCAAGGAGCAAAGGCCGTTTGCAGATTGGGGCCACTCCTCTCGAAAAGGTGCCCTGCTGTGTACGTTTGACACAGTTTGTGGCACAAGTGGGCAGGCCGCGAGGGGTGTGTCAGGGGCTGGACCACAATCTGCATGGATCTGGGCCAACCGGGCGAGAGATCTTATTGCACGGGTGTTGAGTGTCATGCATAAGCCTCGGCCAAATATTAACTAAAAAAAGAAAACCCCTGGCTGGGGTTGAGGCCTGGTTGCCAAAAATTGGACATCGGATGCCAAACAATTATTTAATGTGACGTTCTGTTTATTTGCGTGAAGTTCAAGGAGAGGAAAGAGCAAATGAATGTTTGCCCTGAAGCGTTTATCCTGAGCATTCATTGGTTTGCACCAATTCTTGCAAAGTTCCCAGCGGAGAAAGAGCTGGCACAGATAACATTATTTTTGAGAGCGGTGTGTTCCTCAGTTAATTTAGAGAGTGGTGTGTTCCTCACAAGACAATAGAAAATGCCCCAAATGTGACATCCTACATCGCATACAATTCTCTTGTGGCCCTCTGGATTCACTAGCAACTTCTCCCCTCCCAAAGATTCCGGCACTTACTGAATTGAATTGAATTCTTTGTTGGCCTAATGCAGTGATGGCTAACCTTTTTCTCTTCATGTGCTCGCAACAGAACACATGCGTGCCAGCACCTATAATGCAATGCGTTCCCCTGCTGGGCATGCGTGCACAACCCCCTCACTCGGGTGAGTTCTACTTAACTTTACTTCAGTTTCGTAACGGGCCGCGCGCATGCGCAGAAGCGTTCTGATGACGTCGGGGTCGGTGGGCGGAGCCTCCCTCCGGTTTTACTACTGGTACTATAGAACTGGTCCGAACCTCGGGCAACCCACCACTGCCCCCATTCCTCCCATGCATGTGCATGTGACTCATGCTCCCCCTGCCCCCCGTTTTGGGCATAAGAAGCCTCCCTGCAGCCTCCTGAACCCAAAAATGGGCATGGGGGCACTGCACCTCGTGCATCTCCCACATGCGCCCCCCTGCGCATCCCGAAAATCAGCTTGCTGGCAGGAGGCGTGCACGCATGCGCAGTGGAACTGAGCCTGGAGAAAGGGCTCCACGTGCCAGCTGTGAAATGTGTGCTGTAGATTCGCCATCTCGGGCCTAGTGTGATGTTTATTCCCTCAAGGAATTTGTCTCCAGTGCATCTCAGTGCACCTACCTACAACAACAAAGTGATAAATCGTAGATCATAAATCGTGGTTACAGTCATTAATCTTAAGATAGAAACAAGTGATAAAGCAGAGATAAGATAAGATACCAACAAGAGAAGATAGTAGGGAAGATGAGAAATGAGAAAGGTGATTATAGCAATACCGCCTACTACATGGGTAAATTTCTTAGGCAGTGATTAAGAAATTCCCACACCACTTAAGACAGTGCTGTGGGAATTAGGTGTTCAGCAGAGTGATGGCATGAGGGAAAAAAACTACCTTTGAGTCTAGTTGTTTTGGCATTCAATGCCCTATAGCGGCCTTCTGAGGAGAGCAGTTGAAACAGATTACTCTGTGCGCACAATTATTAGACAAGTTGTATTTTTGAGGATTGCTTTTATGATTGAACCAAACTACAGTTGCTCTCAAGTCCATCCAAAATGTTAATAAACCTCAAACTTGGAACATTTAAGAAAGTAAAAGTGAAAGTAAAAGCTTTTGGGTGTAACAATTATTGGGCAACTATTTGTGTGCAGAATTATTATGCAGCTAAATGAAAAACAAAAATTTTCCCATTTCACTTTCGTTCGTTTCCATCTGTTGGAAGTGAGAATAATAAGCGAACAACTCAAAATATACAAATAAACATTTCTGACATTTCAAAAAATAAAAAAAAAAAAATCGGTGACCAATATAGCCACTCTTCTCTTTTCAGTTACAGTCATAAATACTCCATTCATTGGGTCTGTCGGTTTCTTGATCTTTTGATGATCAACGTTTTGTGCAGCAGCAACCACAGCCTCCTAGACACTGTTCAGAGAGGTGTACTGTTTTCCTTTGCCGTAAATCTAGAAATTGCTTGAAAATGACTGTTGAAATCTCATACACGTGGGTGGTGACAACATATTAGTATTTGGTGAGGAAATTTAGAAGTCAGCAAAATTTCATGTTCCTTCCCGTGACTGGGAGCATTCTAGACAAATTGTGCAAAATGGTAAAAATTGCTGAATAACTTGTGTGGAGCAAGAGAAGAAAAGCGGGTTGTAAGAGAGTGCGATGTGTACAGGTAGTTCTTGACTTCCAAGCCATTCATTTAGTGACGGTTTGATGTGACAGTGGCACCGAAAAAGTCACCGAAAAAGTGACTTGTGACCGTTTCTCGTACTTAACAATGGTTGCAGCATCATCCTCATGATAAAAATGAACTTTGAACGGTCACTACACAAGCTGTTGTAAATCAAGGACTTAACCTGTATAACACTCGCCAATTCTTTAGTATCCGTTTAGAAGTTCTGGCTGTGAAGGTGTCTGCAAAATCAGCCAGCGATATTATTTGTTCAGCCTGTTCTCTCTCTGTTCAACCTGAAATACCTCCTGCTGTGTCTCACTGCAGCAGTCGGCAACCTGTAGGGTAGGTAAGCAAAGCCTTTTGTTTGGCGAGGTTTGCTCCAAGATTGATACTCACAAATGCTTCTTTCTCCATGTTACTTCTGGTTTTCAAGCAGTTCTGAGAGAATTTTATTTTTGGCTTAGCTTTTGCTATTTTCAAGATAAAGTATATGGTGTTTCAGTGTTTAATCTTGGAGAGAAAACATCCCTGTAGCTCTGCAGTACCCTCCCTCCCTCTCTTCCTTCCATCCATTTCATCCACCCTCCCTCCCATCCACACATCTATCTTCCTTCCTTCCTTCCTTCCTTCCTTCCTTCCTTCCTCCCTCCCTCCCTCCCTCCCTCCCTCCCTCCCTCCCTCCCATCTTCCTTCCTTCCTTCCTTCCTTCCTCCCTCCCTCCCTCCCTCCCATCTTCCTTCCTTCCTTCCTTCCTTCCTTTCCATCCATCCATCCATCCATCCATCCATCCATCCATCCCTTCCTTCTTTCCACCCTCCCATCCATACTCCTTCCTTCCTTCTTTCCTCCCTCCCTCCCATCTTCCTTCCTTCCTTCCTTCCTTCCTTCCTTCCTTCCTTCCTTCCTTCCTTCTCTCCAGTAAAATATATACTGTGTTTCCCCGAAAACAGGACAAGTCCCGAAAATAAGGCCAAGCCAGATTTTTGGGGTGGGTGTAAACATACGCCCTCCCCTGAAAATAAGCCCTAATGAAGGGGTGGGCGTGGCCAGTATAGGAGGCAGCCCTTCCCTTCCCCCGTCAGCTAATGGCAGCTACCCTTAATTGCGACCTGCGGATCAGCTGAGCTGATCGGGAGCTGCTTCATTCTCTTTCCTCCCAGTGTTCTTGGCGCTCGCCTGCCTCCCATTCATCCATCCCCCTCACTTGCAAACTCCTGCCCTGCTTGCAAGAGAGCAGCCGTCTGGCCCTTTTGCCACATGGTGCCCACCCAACATTGAGGATGGCTTCCCCTGCAGCTTCCAAACCCTGGCTGTTCCCTCCCCCGCTTGCGTGCCTCCCAGATCTCACCATGTCGATGTGGGCGAAGCTGGTGAGCACCAGGGTGGAAGTGGAGAAGACGCCAGTCGGGCCAGCTGTCTGCTGCCAAGTCTTCCGGGAACCAGGGCAGAGAGTCCTCCAGCAATCGCATGGAGTTGGAACCATAGAGCGGGCCGCTTCCCGCTCTATGGTTCCAACTCCATGCGGTTGCCCTGGCTCCTGGAAGACTCGACAGCAGGCAGCTGGCCCGACTGGCGTCTTCTCAGCTTCCAGCCAGGTTTTGGAAGCCGCAGAAGAAGCCATTCTCAGTGCTGGATGGCGGCGGCGCAGTCTCCCCATGTGGGGCTTCAACTCCCTTTGTCTTTCAACGCCTCTCTGCCCCGGCTGCCGGAAGACTCTCTGCCCTGGCTGCCAGAAGACCTGGCAGCAGGCGGCTGACCCAACCGGTGTCTTCCCCGTTTCCAGCAGCTTCCAGCTGGGTGCTCACTGGCTTCGCCCACATCAACATGGTGAGATCTGGGAGGCGCGCAAGCCGGGGACGGAACAGGCGCTCGCACGGCTTGGTGCCTTCGGCCCGATCACATTCTCTCCCCCCCAGTAGGAGGGATGGGGCTTAATGGCAGACAGAGGGAGCCTCTCTCTGCTGGACCCCCCAATAATAAGGCCAAGGCCATATTTTGGGGGACAAAAGAAAATAAGACCCTGTCTTATTTTCGGGGAAACGCAGTATATGTAGAGAGAGAGAGAGAGAGGAGAAGGGAAAAATTTAAAGATTCCCTTTTTCTGAGTATATTTATCAAGTATGAATATCCTGAAAGATTATCCTTTGACCATTTGCCCGGAAGCTGTAAACCTATATGAGAACAAAATATTTAATCTTTCCAAACATTTACTTATTTATTCATTCTGGCAATTTTTCACTTGCCGCAGTCAAGAGATTCTCAAAGGATTATAATCAGAATGATAAAATATCAGTGGCGCAAGTAAAATTACATAACAAAGAATCGTCCCAAATTAAATGACAAGAAAAAAAAATGATAAAACAATGTCAATAAGCCATACAAGCAAGTGGTGACATCTGTAATTCCAAAACCCTCTTAAAGCGTTAGGTTTTGAAGAATTTTCTGACGCCTAACAAAATAAGAGCAGATAAGGATATAAAGAGGCAGAGAATTTCATAGCATTGATGCTACTGCAAAAAAAACAGGATTTGGGGCTAACCGTAGTCCCAGCAGAACCACTAATAATTTTATACTAGTGGTAGAGAGGTCAACATTGGTTGGAAAATAGAGTCCTGTAGATCCAGGTGTTTGCTATTACAACCAAGTACGTTGTAACCAGGGTAACCTGAAAGATGTCTGGGAATTTTCCAATCCCATGTTAAATATTTGCTGAACTGTTAAGGGATAAATGAAAGCTAGACCAATCTGCATTTGTATGTCCACTTAAACTTTTCCGCTGCATTCCGTGAATTTGCTAAGTAGCAACTCAATCCAGTTCAGACTTTAAAAAATGGCCTGTGGTGATAAATTACAATAATGATTCTAGTCTAAATGTAAACCCGGTTCCCTGCTGGTTGGTGGGCAGATGTGGCTCAGTATATAGCACGCGACCTGCAGAGAAATGCATGTATTTGGATTTTGCTTTAAAACCATTTCGAAGTTTGCCTTTTGGTTAAAGACAGTACCGTGTAGCTTTTGATAGAAACCTGCTTTAAAAAATTATGCCTCTTAAGAAAGTTAACAACCGACTTAAGTGTTTTATCATCAAACCTTAAGGATGCAAGGAAGAATTTTATTTCTTGAGATGATGGCAGTTGTGTTTCCTGATCAAGATTATGTCCTTTCACAGAATCACAGAATTGTCAAACTGGAAGAACCTCAAGGATCATTTAGTCTAACCCTCTGCAGTCTGCAGAAAGCAAGTTCGTGTCAGGTTTCAATGTCATCTCAAATAAATTGCACTCCCAAACAATTAATCTTTGCTGAAATATTCCATTTATTAAATGCGACAGATCTGGCCCCGACTTCGTCGTAGCCAATACTAACCCTCTGACCCCCAAACCCTTCCCTTTCTGTTCCCCAATTCTCATCTTCTCATTGGCCATCTTCCAAGTCAGTCTCCCCAGCTTCTGACCTCACCCCACAGGAATGTTCCCCCACCCATCCCATCTCCTAGGGGATATTATCTACAGAGAAAATAAGTAGGTGAAAAGTGAAGCCTCGTCTTTTTATGGCAGCATCAGAATGCTGACAGTTCGTTTGTTCTCGGGAGGTGATGTCTAGCTTTTTCTTAAGGATCTTCATAGATGGAGAACCTACAACTTCCCTGTGTTGAGTAACTCTTTTAACATTAAGAAAGTTTTAAATAAAAGTGAGATAGCTGCAAGCTATACCCATTATTCAATCAGAATAGAGCTGGAAGGAACCAGGGTGGATTTAATTTAAATCGAGTTGATTTAAATCACGATTTAAATCACTAGTAAAAAGGCTTGATCAACTCGATTTAAATCATAATTTTTAAAGAGTAACTGTCATCTCTGCTACTCCTTTGACCCACTGTTGACTCACCGATAGTCCCAGTGTTGCAGAATATACAGCCTCATGCTGCATAACTAAGCTCCATTTCATGCTGAATAAACTAAATTATTTATGTATCTTAAATAGAAAACTATCTTACGATAGATTGTTACCCCAAAAGTTTTTTATTAAAATAAATTCGATAAAAATCAAAAAAATCCGATTTAAATTTTAAAAAGTCTGATTTTTTTGATTTTTTAAAAGAAATCATTGATTTTTATTCACCCTGGGATCACCAACCTTTCAGACCTCTGGGACCACTAAATTCATAGTTTTAAATCCCACGGACCACTAATACGATCTGCCTAATGACTGGCTGGGTGGGCGTGGCTAGGTGGTCATGTGACTGGGTAGGTGTGGTCAATTTGATGTCACTCACATCGAGGGGCACCTTGCCGGCCTCTACTTGCCCCTCCTTGCCTCCCCACCCGGACTCCTTAGGGCCCCAACAGGAAGCAGTTGTTGGAGCTAAGCAGCCACCACGAGAAAGAGTTGGCAAAACAGCTCAGTTCAAATTGGATCTGGCCGAGAAGGAGGCTCAGCAGAAGCACCTCACCGAGGACTAGGAGCATAGGCTTTCCAAGCAGAGCGAAGACTTTTGGGAGTGCTAGGCCAGGTACCGGCACCTGGAGGCTCAGCGGGCTGAGATGGTCAGCCAGTTCCAGGCCATGATGCAGTCCCACTGGAACGAGGTCCTCCGGCTCTTTGCCACCAGCGGTACTTCCCTCCAGCCTTCGCCCAAAGCCCCACACCAGGAGGCTGAAGCAGACCCTAAGTTGAAATTTCTTCTCCCCTCTGACCCACACAAGAAGACTCTCTGCAGCAACACAAATGTTCATTGCACGTATCCAGCAATCTGTTCAAAGTAATATAGCAATTTTATTTTGCGGAGGGGGGAGATGAGTTCCGAACTGTAATCATAGAAGCAAAGAATGCCAAGGGTTGGAAGTTGTCTAAAGGAGCACGATACTCTACCCAGTGCAGAAATGACAGATGGCGAAGTCAGTCTCTGTTTGAAGTCCTGTGAATGGGAGTCTACCATCTCCTAAGGATTGCCTCATGGTTGAACGAATCTTAGGAATGTTTTCCTGGTGTCCAGCGAAAACGTACTTGCAATTTGAACTCCTTTATCTTCTGGAACAACGTTGAACAATTTCTCCCTGCTTTCTACATGACAATTCTTTGGATACTTGGAGGCATCTGTGATGTCTCCTTGATGTCTCCAGGCGAAACATGTCCATGTAGGAGAAGAGCAGGCAGAGTTAAGGGGGTGGAGTCAAGCATGCCATCAGCTTAGGGTTGTTACATTGCCACAAACATCCAAACCCAACTTCACTTGGATTCTGTTGGCCCTCATCTGTGCCAATTTAATATTGAACTTGAGTTGACTAAGATTCTGGTGTAAAGACTTGAGCATTATGTATGTATGGATGTATGGATTGATTGATTGATTGATTGGTTCGATTTATATGCCGCCCTTTTCCGGAGACTCAGGGCGGCTTACAATGCGTTAACCAATAACCTTCATACTTTTTTTGTATATACCTGCTTAGTAGGGCTTTCGGCCCCCCCTAAGCGGTGTTCTTTTTTATACAAAGTCAGCTTATTACCCCCACAATCCGGGTCCTCATTTTACCTACCTCGAAAAGATGGAAGACTGAGTCAACCTTGAGCCTGGTGAGATTTGAATTTGCAGTAATTGCAGGCAGCTGGTGCTACTTAACAGCACTTTAGTCTGCTGCGCCACCAAGGCTCATTACCCTGTTTCCCCCAAAATAAGACATCCCCGGATAATAAGCCCAATTGGGCTTTTGAGCGCATGGCAATGAGGCTAAGCGCTTATTTCAGGGTTCAAAAAAAATATAAGACAGGGTCTTATTTTCGGGGAAACACGGTACATGTTTGAATTGCAGCTTATCATATGGTCTTGATCCTTTTCATATGACATTAATCATCTGTAAATGGCCGTAAATGTGGACTGGTTGCCAAGCACCTAAAATGCAAACATGTGACCGAGCAGGGGCCTGTTGGAACTGTGAATCTGAGTTGTAGCTTTTCTTTGGCGGGGGGGGTGGGCTCCATCGTAACTCAAGGTCTACCTGTAACCCATCGACCTTAGGATGTCTACAATCGAATAGTTCTTCATATGTTTCATAAAAGATACAAAGAATGGTTGCAGGAATTGGATATAGCTAGTCTGGTGAAAAGAAGGGGTGACACGATAGCAGTATTCCAATCTTTGAGAGGCTGCCACAAAGAAGAGGGGGTCAACTTATTCTCCAAAGCACCAGAAGGCAAGAGAAGAAACAATGGATGGAACCCAATCAAGGAGAGAAGCAACCTGGAATGAAGGAGAAACTTCCTAACAGTGAGGACAATTAACCAGTGGAATGGCCTTGTCTTCAAAAGTTGTGGGTGCTCCAACATGGGAGGTTTTTGGGAAGAGAGTAGACAACCATTTGTCTGGAATAATCTAGGGTCTCCTGCTAGAGCAGAGGATTGGATTAGAAGACCTCCAAGGTCCCTTCCAGCTCTAGCTTGATTGATTGGTTGATTGATTGAACCCTGTTTCGAAGCCAACTATGCTGGTCATCACCACATCTCATGTTTGTTGTTAGTTGCGAAGTCGTGTCCAACCCATCGCGACCCCATGGACAACGTTTCTCCAAGCCTTCCTGTCCTTTACCATCCTCTGGAGTCCATTTAATCCCTTCTTTTGCCCTCAATCTTTCCCAGCATTAGGCACTTCTCCAGTGAGTCCTTCTTTCTCATTAGGTGGCCAAAGTACCGTATTTTTCGGCGTATACAATGCACCTTTTTCTCCCCTAAAAGGGGGTGAAAATTTAGGTGCGTCTCATACACCGAATATAGCTCCGCCCACCCACTGGCTCCCACCCTTTGGCCTCTGCCTCGCAGCAGTTGCCTCCTTGCAAGCAAACAGCAAGAAAAAATAGCTCCTTTCAGCTTCAGCACAGACTAATTAGCACAAGTTGATTGGATCGGCCTCCCGACTCTCAGCTGATTTGCTCTCAGCTGTTTTGCTCAGGTCTCTGCTGCTTGCTGCAAAGAGGTAAATTGCTCGAGCAGATTTTTTTTCCCCTTGTGCTAATCAAGCTATGCTGAAAACGAAACTGAAAGTTAAGCAGGCTGTTTGCTGTTTGCTGCAAGGAGGCAAAATTGCTCAGAAGCAGAGGGAGATTTCTTTTTCTTCTTTTCCTCACCAAAAAATTCTTATACTCCGAAAAATACGATACATCTCATAGTAGCAAATGCCAATGTTGAGTCACACATGGTGCAAAAAACATATTTCCTTTTCGTCTGTCCTGATTCTTCCAAGGTTGAATTTCAATTGGGGGTCCTCTCCTAAATTAAGAGTAAGGAAGAAGAGATTGAAGAAGAAACTAGCGGAAGAAAGAGGTGCTATGCAAACCAGTTGGCCCAAAGAGCAGAATTAGTTACAATCTTGAGCTGTAGGGCTGTTTTTCAAAATTGCAGCCCTTGTGGGAGTGTATTTTATGCAGCCTCCTCACATAACACTTAGACATGCTGGGCACATTTTTCCTCCTCCTCCATAGCCCATTATTGGCTCACAGAAATGACGGCATAAATCTCTTGAGTGAACATTAATATTTTGTGTGGGGATTTTTTCCCCCGTGGCAGCTCTTGTGTTTAGCATCACATTCACGGCCATCCCAGAAATGGGATTAAAATGCTGCATCTTTCAAAAAACCTTCCAGCCCTTTTCTGGTTCAGGGTAGTCCTCACTTTATGACTGGTCACCCAGTGAATGTTGAAAGCTACAACGGACCCTCTCCAGAAGCTACTCACGGCCTATGTCTCCAGGAAATGGAGCATGGGTTATCTCACGGGATGGGGGAGGCCTTGGAGGCACCCCCCCAACCCTGAGGCACCTCGTGCTTTGCTTAATGACTCCTGTATTCATTTAATGATTCATTGGCAAGAGCAGGTATGGGGAGATCATTAAGAGCCGACGTGGCGCAGTGGTTAGAGTGCAGTACTGCAGGTTACTTCAGCTGACTGCTAGCTGCAGTTCAGCAGTTCAAATCTCATCGGCTCAAGGTTGACTCAGCCTTCCATCCTTCCGAGGAGGGTAAAATGAGGACCCAGATTGTTGGGGGCAATAGGCTGACTCTGTAAACCGCTTAGAGAAGGCTGTAAAAGCACTATGAAGCAAGTGTTATTGCTATTGCTAAGGGAGATGCTTCATTTAACAGTTGTTGCGACACGAGACCGTAATGGGTAACAATAGCAATAGCACTTAGACTTACATACTGCTTCACAGTGCTTCACAGCCCTCTCTAAGTGGTTTACAGAGTCAGCCTCTTGCCCCCAACAATCTGGGTCCTCATTTGACCCACCTTGGAAGGATGGAAG